TAAAACAAGTCATTCAACTTCTAAACTGTTAAGTAGAAGGAGTGGCTCTTGCATTAGAAAGGAGGTTTTCCTCTAAAGACTTGATAGCTTTGAACCCTTGAGGTACAGGATCATCATCGGAGGGTAACTCCTTACTGCCTTGTGATTCATAGTTGTCCAAAAATAACACTTGTCTCCAATGACCTGGATAAAGGGGCTTCTGATGCCTGAAAATGAGAACGGTAGCATCCTATTATGGATGTTACCTTCTCTGCCTTTCCTCAAGCAATTATGTCCAGCAGAGGTCAGAGGAGAAGAATCCTTAACCCTGGCCTGTGATGGATTATCTCCATATCTAAAATCAAATATACCTTGAATGTAAGATTTAATATCCTTCTGAAAACCTCCGATCTGCATGATAAATTTATATACTTCCCATTAGATTAACATTTAGTTTATCTCTTAGGGACCAGTTAGCTCTATTCTCATTCCCCCTTTCTACCTGAAGTTACACTACCCAGCTTTTGTACATAGACTGGCAATGAAAGGCATGCAGCCAGAGTAATTTCTCCTTGATCCATGGATTTCCCTTCTGGGTGCAAAGATAGTGGGATAGGTTGGGTGTGGGGGGTTAAAGATTCAAGTTAGGAGTAGGATATGTCATTTTACCACATCCTGTTTGAACATACTCTGATCTTCCTATATGTTTAAATTCATTTATGGTTAGTGTTAATTCCTTTAGTGTAGTACTGTGGAGGAGACAAAAGAAATACACATTTCACTTAATTCTCATCACAGCCCTGTGTGAAAAGTATTAGTATTCCTGCCTTACAGAGAGGTGAAATAGCTTGTCTAAGGTTATAAAGCTTCTAAGTGGCAGAACTAGGATTAGAACATAGGTCTGTTTAACATTATTTCAGAGATGAAGAGAGCACTGTGATTGCAGCAGGGAAATCTGCAGGGTGACTTTGAACCACAGGCTTCTCTCATTCTGCATGAGCTATCTTATTATATAAGCAGTGTGGAAACAATTCTTCTGCTCCCACCTCATCCCCACCTCCCACCCCTCGCCATGGTCTTTATGACCACACCTGAACCCACATTATAGTTGATTTCAATTACCATCATCTTTAATTATAGAGGGAAAACATACTTGTTCAGTCATGCTTAAAATCATCTCACACCAACTAGGGCTCTCTTTCTTTCTTAGCTACTCTCTCCCAAAATGCCAATCAAAAAATGTCAAAATTAACAGTTGCTGATATTAATTATTTTGAGTTCAGAGTTTGTTCTATGCAAATTAACATATTGTTCTTTACATTGGTGGACTTTTCATACATGTGCGCTCAGAAATGAAAACCAAGTTGCTAATCTTGTCAGAGTGATGGTGGAGGTAGGTTTTAGTAGAATTAGCTCAAGCTCCAAGCTCACTGCCATGGAGTCGGATCCAACTCACACCCCTACTTGGGTTTCCCACGCGGTATCACTATGGAAATAGATTGCCCAGCTTTCCTTCCGAGGAGTGGCTGGTGGGTTTCAACCAGCCTTCTGGTTAGTAGTCAAATGCCTTAGGCACTATGCCACCAGAGCTCCTAGGTTTCAGAAAATCTGGGTTCTCATCCCAGCTCCTTTACTTCCTAACTATGTAAGCTTGGATCTGTCCCTTAGCGTTTCTAAGTTTCAGTCAATTCTCTACCATAAGATTAGGAATAATCTTTACTGTTGTGCTTATTTAGTATAGGTTTTTGTGAGGCTCTACTGTCATCAAGTTGATTTCGACTCTTAGCGACTCTTAGCAAGGAACAAATGATGGAGAGTCTTTGAATACCATGCTACAGAGTTTAGATTATGAATCAGAGGAAATGTAAAGCCATTGAAGAATTTTGAGCAGAATTTTGATCAGGCTACTGCAGGGTAGATTATTGGTGTTTTGAAGGGGAAAAAAAACTAACAGAAAAAAAAGATCAAAGGCTAATTTGTCAATTAAAAGGCAACTAACAATCTTCAAGAATGGTGAGGATAGGAGTCCAAATGAATAAGGTTTAGGAGTAAGCAAATGAAAAAGAAAACAGAAACAAATGTAGACCAGTACTGTCTGACATACTCAGACTACAGATGAGCCAGTGCTACCATATTTTATCAGATTAGAAGGGTACAAACGGAAGTGCTAGCATTTAATGGAAATTGCTATTAGCCTTGATGTCCTAAACAGAGTAAGCTTTCAGAATCCACTGAACCGATCAGAACTGTGCTTTATGAATAATGCAGTATGTGTGTATCTAAGAAGAAAAATGAATTACATTTGTCACCTTTATCTTGTCTTTGACCTACATTGCTTGCTATTTTTCCTCCATGCCTGATCAACAACAACAAAAGCACACACTATCATCTCTAGCTAGCTGAAATGTGTAGTAGAGAAATGCAAATGTCTTACCAAAATTTTCTCAGTCATGGTAGTAAAATGAAAGTACTAGGGCAAAAGCCCTAATTTTCTAACTGAAAATTCATTTCCTTGTCAGCCTTGAGCTTTTGACCTTACTCCTAGTAGACATAGACTCTCATTAAAGTCCTAAAGCATGGGTAGTGGATCAGAGGCCTATCTTCAGGAGTTCCAGTCGCTATTGTGCAGCTGTGGATGAGTCAATAGAAGCAATAAGTCTTACACCAGGGAGGCTGCAATAATTTCATGTTAATAAATGGATAGGATTTTGAATCCTTGAGAACAAGGCACTTTATAAATGCTTCTCATTATCTTATAACTTGCCTATACCTTGTTAAAACAGCCTACCAACTAAATTGAGCTTTCAAGGGATGAATAGAAATTTAGTGGCAATTTTCAGATTTTGTGAGCATTAAACAACACTTAGCTTAGACCTTCAAATGGCACTGATGATTTCATGCAGGCTACACTTGTCTGAAACATTTTCCCAATTAAATAAGTTCCTTTCCGTTATAAGTCATCTTATCCATTTAAATCTGTCCACTAAAATTCAGGAATTTTATGAAGCCAAAGGATAGACTATGGTAGAATGTCTTTTTTAAATCTTATTGGAATGAAATCTCTCTGAGATGATTCTTGTATAAGATGGGAGTTATCCTGTCCCCTGTTCTCCAGGTTCTTCAAATAAAAATCAAATAAGAGATAAAGAACATGTTTGTCTTTCAGACTTCAGTGTGAGGTATCTTCAAGGGTTGAACCCGTCAGGGTAACCAGTGTTTAATGTGAGAGGAAATTGTCCTATAGATTGGGCCTCCTTTCAAGGAAGCACCACCAACAAAAATTCACTTGCTTCTTTTTCCTTGTGGTTGATTGATTCATTAGACTTGAAACTGAAATGATGGTTTCACTTCCTTCTTCCATAACACTTCAAGTGAAAGGGATAGAAGAGTTGTGTCACCGGTGGCATAAAGAATTCTTCCACCCACTCACCTAGTGATGGATAGATAGTTGTAAGCATCCACAGTTCTTAGGGGCCATAGCAAACATGGAAGTCACATCCCAAAGGTGATCCAATGTCCTTTCTTTAAATCCCAATCTTTTCTTGCTTTCAAAAACTTGTATTGAGCATTTTTATATGCACTACACTGAAGGCACTATAAATCAAAACCAAACTCAATGCCATCAAGTTGGATCCAACTCATAGTGACCCCTCCTTGGGTTTCTGAGATGGTACCTCTACAGAAGTAGATTGCCCAGTCTTCCTTCCGAGGAGTGGTTGATGGGTTTGAACCACCAGCCTTCTGGTTAGCAGTCAGATGCCTTAGGCACCATACCACCAGAGTTCCCGTAGGCACTATAGGGGATGTAATTCAATATTTCTGTCATAAATATAGATAGAAATACACAGACACACACCCCTATATATAAACGCATATCACACATACACACACACACACACATATATACGTACATTCATACACATATACATATATTCACAGTTAAAGGAGTTTATCATTAGGATACTTTGAGCTAGAAGAAATAGAAAACTTTAACTCAAATGGCTTAAACAATAAAGACATTTCTTACTTCATATAACAAGAAGTCTAAAGTTAGGGCAGCTTCATATACTTTACAGTCAGGGCTCAGACTCTACTTTCCTGCAGTTCTCTTGGTTTAGCCCTCCTGTTGGCTTTGGTCTCAGGCCAGCTGACCACATGATTACAAGAGCGCCACAGCAGTTCTGTGCATTGTAGGCAGATAAGATAATGTCTAGAAGCAGAAAAAAGGACGTTCTCTTTCATGAACAGATTAGGAATCTGTTAGCAAGGAGATAGAGGGGAATGGATGCCATCAGGAAACTTAACAGTCTGGAGGAGGAGACACTATGTAATAGTGTGGTAAACGTTCTGCTAGGGTATATGCAGTTTAGAATAGTGGCACCAAGGAGAACATACTCATCCCTCCAAGGGTGGGGTTAAAAGGGCAGAGGTCTGTAGATGCTTATCATAGAAGATTTCACTTGGGGAAGAGATGATTAATCCAGTTTGGGACATGTTGACTTTGAGGTATTAGAGGACCTTGGGTGGAGAAATCCAGTAGATGGTTGGGTAGATACTGATCTGAGGCTCAGAAGAGACATCTAGATGGAGAAAAAGATTTAGGAGTTGTCAGGATATAGGTGGTGGTCACGGCTTCAAGGATTGAGAGAGAGGGCAGAACAGGACTAGGAACGAGACCCTGGGGAACACTGACATTTAGAGCATGAGTGAATAAGAGGGGATGACAGAGGCAGAAAACAAAAATGGAAACCTTTTAATGTCATCTATGTGTGGGATGGGTGTAAGCCAACTCAGAGCGCCATCTCGTGATATTCACACGTGTGATTTCTGTAAAGGACTGGTAAAAGCTAGGAATATCGGAATACCCATTATTTACCCAGTAAGAGATTTCTTCCCCAAGAAATTGGTTAAATGAGACAAACTTGGTGGAAGTATTACTGACCTGAACAGTCTTCCTACCCAAAGTAGAAATGATGGCACTGAAATTTCTAAAATGAATCTCTTCTCTTTTTTGTTTGCAGGAGTGGTCACACGTTACTTGCCTTCTGGTTTTCCCGCCAAGATGGAAAACTAAACCGACAGCAGACTATTGAACTGGGGCATCACATACTCAAAGCACACATTTTTAAGGTAATTAGAGAAAATGGATGTTTTTGCCCTCCATCTCTGGCGTACTTTCCTTAACACTATGTATGTGAAGCTACTATTATTGCAGTTTAGTTTCTGCTTTCTGAAATTATTTTGCTGTAGAGTTTGTCCATCTAAAATGTCTGGCTCATTTCTCCCAAGGCCTTTAGAAAGAGAGCCACATTTGCCATCTCCCAATTTAAGGGGTTACTAGGCTCTGGTAGCATAGTACCTAAGGCACTTGACTGCTAACCAGAAGCCTGGTGGTTCAAACCCACCAGCTACTCCTCGGAAGGAAGGTTGGGCAATCTACTTCCGTAGTGATACTGCCTTGGAAACCCAAGGGAGAGGTCGCTATGAGTAGGGTCCAACTCGACGGCACGTAACAACAACAACAGGCTTTCTAGGAAGAGTGTGTGTGTGTGTGTGTGTGTGTGTGTGTGTATGAAACCATTTAGGTAAGAAGCATGTACATATATGTGTGTGTGCTCTGCCATTTCCTGAGGATAGTCGTGTTTGTAAAAGTAGTTGCAAGTTTTCACAGTATCTGAAAAAAAAATCACTGACAGCAATTAACTCTGAATTTTCTTATAATTTTTTTAATAAAAGTTTTAGTATTTCTGGTGCTATGATTTTCAAACTATTTATTTGGAACCAAGCATTTCTTCCTAATTCTTTTCCTGCTTCAGGATTGGGAAATACAGGTATCTTAAACAGTTCTCTGGGTCCCCCAAGTGATACTATTAAAGATAAAACAATGCTCTTCACAAAGAAAGATGGCATTAAGGGCAACTCCCAGAGCCTAGCAAATCCTTCCTGGTTTATAAGCACACAACCAAAGAAACCTGGCCATCAGATGGACATCAGAATCGAAACCTCCACGGTGACAAGTCCCTTATTTGAATTATAATTGCTTTATCTAACAAATCACTATACCAGAAATAACCTTCCCCAATGACCTCACTCAGTGGAAGCAAAATGAGACTGAAATAACAGACTTCGTGTTTCATTCCAGTTTTTAATGGATTGAAAAGTGCACTCTACTTCCACAAACTTTAACATCATTATCTTTCATTTAGATGGGAAAGTAACTTAAGTATTAACTGTCTAGCATCATCATCTGCTGCCTAGGACCAGATACAAAGATGAGAGTGATGCCTGCCTTTGCTGCACCGTAGAGTAAGCACCACAATAACAGAAAAATGATATGAAGCTTTGTGTGCCTTAGTGTAACTTTATCCAGTACATGGAGACCTGCATTTAAACCATACCTCCTGTCATTAGCACAGTTTTATCTTATTTTGAAGCAGACAACTTGCTTGCCTGAGATAAGAGTGGCTCCATGTGTGATTTAGGCCATAAATACTCTAGTGTGTGGCATATGGTGATGACATGACTGCAGGCTGAAGAATGAAGACTTGGACTGTGGTTTTTATGCTGCTGCAATGTACCGGAGCTTTTAAGTGCAGAGTGCTCCCTGGTGATAGGCTTTGGCTTCTCCCAGACAACCAAAATTCTCAGCCCACGTCACCTAAGAGTCATGAAGAGGCAGACAGAATTTATGGCTGTAACCAGATCCATTTAGAACTTCTAATCAGCTGCAACATAAACCCAATTTATATTCCTTTTCAATTAAGTTTAAATTTCCCTTATTTTCTCTTTGTTCATGAAAATTACTTATGATGTCATTAATCACTTTTAAAATATGAGAAGATGGAGGGTCTGTGACTTATGCTGGATTCTCTAGAAAAGCAAAACCAGTGAAGCCTAGAGAAAGAGAGATTTATTTCAAGGAAATTTCTCATGTAGTTATGGAGGCTGCCTAATCTGACCCAAATGAAGCTGGCCTGACTCACGTGGTTGTAGGGGTCAATGAACCCAAAATCGGCAGATCAGATGACAGGCATCTGGCTCACAAGACTACAGGAACTGGTGAATCCCAAGATCTGTGGGTCAAACGGCAGGGTGATGGCTCACATCCTAAGAACCAGAGCTCAGAGGATGACGAGGTGAATGCAGGATTGAGAAAGGAAGAGCATTGCCAAAACATCCATATATGTAGGATGCAGGCCACACCCCCAAGGAAACTTCCCTTTCAACTGATTGGCTGCTTACATCAGATCACAAACTGGGAAATGATTACATAATATCTGCCAAACCACTGAGAATCATGGTCCAGCCAAGTTGACATATAACTATTACAGTCTACCCCTTGTCAACTTGGCATCTGTACACATCTCCCTAAACCATACATAATCTCTAAATAAAAACAATTATAAAGTCATACATGTGCCTAACATGATACAAGTAACATGTATACAACTGGAAATGCACTGGCTCTGTTCACATATTTTATATTAAGTAATGAAATAAGGGAGGGAACAATACAAAGATTTTTGCTATATGTACACACATAACAAAGCAAGGAAAAAATACTGAAAATAATTACATTCCTTGTTTCTGCAACTATTCACATTATCATAGCTGGTATTTAGAACTACCTCCCATTCCTTGGGAGCTCTGGTGGCCTAGTGCCTAAGGCATTTGACTGCTAACCAGAAGGCTGGAGGTTCAAACCCACCAGCCACTCCTCAAAAGGAAGGTTGGGCAATCTACTTCCGTACTGATATTGCCTCGGAAACCCAAGGAGGGGTCACTATGAGTCAGATCTGACTCGACGGCAGTGCATTGCATTTGTTGTTTTTTTTGTACTCATTCCTTATTCCCTTTACCTTCAGCAAGTACCTCAGCTGGTTGTGGTTCTTTGCCTGGTGGGTGACCCAAACCTTCATTCCTGAAGGGTCTGGACCATTAAGTGTCATGTCAGAATTGGATTGCTGTAGTTTTCCATTGACTTTAATCACAGGGTATGGTAGTATAAGAGACATCCTAAGGACTCTGCTGTATTCTAGACATGTTCTTCTTTGCCTCCATTATGTAATATCAATCCAGTTTCCCCTTGGTAATCAGGATCAATCATATCAGCCAATATGGTAACTCCCTTCTTTGCCTGTTGATCTAGAGGCATGAGGAGCCCAAAGTGGCCAGGTGACATTCTTAGCTTCTAGTTCAGTGAACTCAGCATCGTGTTTCCTAGTAGGAGAATTCCTTTCTTTGGAGCTAAGACCTCTAGACCCACAGAGCATAGGGTTGTGGGAATAAGAACCAAAATTTTGCAAGTGGGTCACTACGGGTAATCATGAATGGTGCCGTTCCCATTTCCATTGATTGATTCCTGGACCCATGAATGCTGGCTGTGGGAGAAATAGGACCATATTTTGGATGCTGGTTTGGAACATATACAACCTCCTAGAGAACACTGTCCCAACCCTGTAAGTTATTCTTACCATCTGGCGGTCTCCATTATTATGGCTTTGGACACAAAATTGTGCCATTCTATTGTTCTATCAAGCCAACTGCTTCAAGATAATGAAGAATATGGTAAGACCAGTGAATCCCATGCGCATGGGGCAATTGCCACACTTCGTTTTCTGTGAAGTGAGCTTCTTGGTCTGAAGCAATGCTATTTGGAGACCATGATGGTGGTTAAGGCATTCTGTAAGTTCCCAGATGTGTGTTGGCAGAAGCATTGCATATAAGGAAAGCAAATCCAAATCTAGATTAAGTGCCTATCCTAGTAAGAACAAAATGCTGCCCTTTCCATGATGGAAGAGGTCCAAGTAATCAGCCACTAGGTAGTTGGCGGATCACCTCTAAGAATGGCTCCATACTGGGGACTCAGTGTTGGTCTCTGCTGCTGGCAGATTGGACCACTCAGCAATGACTGTAGCCAAGTCAGCCTTGGTGAGTGGAAGTTTGTGTGGCTGAGCCCTCACATAACCTCCATCCCTGCCACCATGGTTACTTTGTTCATGAGCCCCTTTGGCAACAACAGGAGTAGCTGCAGAAGACTGTTATCCACAGAACACGTCATCCTATTCACTTGACTGTTAAAATCTTCCTCTGCCAAGATCACCTTTGGTGAGCTTTCACATGAGACACAGATATCTAAACATCTTTGGCCCATTTAGAGAGGTCTGTCCATATATCTCCTCCACATACTTCCTTGTCACCTATTTTCCAGTCATGTTCCTTCCAAGTTCTGGACCATCTAGCCAAACCATTGGCCACAGCCCATGAATTATGGTACCTGCATATCCCCCAGAACCATCCATACACCAGGCACAAGTTTTATCTTCTTCAGTCAACTGATTGTAAGGAACTCCCCATGAGGCTACAGGTGCAGACTGGGAGAAGGAAGGTAATGTGACAGGAGTGTGGACTGTGGGCATATGGGCCATTTCCTCATGTAACTAATTTGTGCCTTCAGGTCCTGCTCAAGCCCAATCTCGTGTATACCACTGCCATTTAATAATGGAGTGCTGCTGTGAATGTCTGACTCTGTGGGACAAAAAACACCCAATTAATGATAGGCAGCTCAGGTGACATAGTGACTTGGTGCCCCATGGTTAAGTGTGTTCAGTCTCTGCCTTGGCCCAGTAGCAAGCCAAAAGCTGTTTCTGGAAAAGAAAGTCATTATCTACAGAAAATGGTTGAGCTTTGCTCCAAAATCATAAGGATCTACACTGTGATTCACCCAATAGGGGCCTTCCAGAGAGCATCGCCATCTGCCATTGATACTTTACATGTCAGCAGAATGATATGGCCCAAGTGGCAGAGCAGCTTGTCTGGCAGCCTGAACCTGTCACAGAACCTTCTCTTTTTCTGGGCCCTACTCAAAACTAGCAGCTTTTTAAGTCACTTTATAAATAGGCTAGAGTAGCACACCCAAATGAGGGATATGACTTCTCCATAACACAAAGAGGCCCACCAGGGCATTGTGCCTCCTTTTTATTTGTAGGAGAGGCCATATAATAACTTACCCTTCACTTTAGAAGGAATGTCTCAACATGGCCCACACCACTGGACCCCTAGAAATTTCAGTGAGGTAGAAGGCACCTGAATTTTTGTCAGATTAATTTCCCACCCTCTTGCACACAAAT